GTTTTAACTATGATGAATTGCTCCCTTCAGACAGGGGTCTCCTAAACAGAGTGCACCTTTTATTCAAGAGTTTTCAGAGTTTTTATCAATTTTACACAACTCCTTTGATAGGATTATTTTAGCTGGAGATTTTAATCTGCACATGGATAAACTTTTAGACCCTTTAGCCACAGATTTTTAAAATATCTTGAATTATATGGATTTTACCCAACATGTCACGCAACCAACTCACAACAGAGGACACAACCTGGACCTGGTCATCACGTATGGCCTGGTGTGTCCTCTGTTGTTGACTTGGCAGTGTCTGATCACTATTGCGTATTTTTTAGCATCACCAACGTTATCCAGTGAGAAGTGTAAGGAAGCGTCATCTAACCCCTGAAGTGGCTGCTGGTTTTCTTGAAGCTTTTAACAATATCCCTCCAAGTAACATCTCTGCCCCTTGTGATGCCATTATCAATGATTTTAACAGAAGACTTGAGTCAGCTCTTAACTTGCTTGCTCCACTCAAAACCAAAAACTTACAGTCAAATCATACATCACCTTGGAGAAATGAAAACCTAAGAAAACTAAAGAGAAACTGCAGAGTGGCAGAGAGGAGATGGAGGAAAAACAAATTAACAATAAACCATCAGATAAATTAAGAACTTAAAATATACAATAATGCCATAAGGAATTCAAGAAAAGCATACTTTTCCAAAATCCTCTCAGACAATAAAAATAACCCTAAAATTCTTTTCTCCACAATCAATAATAATCTCAACTCCAACCAAAACTCAACTCAGAAAACCCCCTCAAACACTCTCCGTGAGGAGTTTGCAGCCCACTTCAGAGGGAAGGTAGACGCCATCAGATGTAATATTTTATCCTCTCAACGTAACGTGGTTTTAGACACATCTGAGAGTGTGTGTCTACCTGAGGAAACTCTGGACAGTTTTGTTCTGGTTGAAGCTGAGAGTCTTGATAAAGATTTCTCCTCAGTGAGACCCACCACATGAGTCCTGGACCCTATTCCCACTAGTTTTTTTTTTATACTATTTTATGATTTTTTTAAAGATGAGGTTTTAACTATGATGAATTGCTCCCTTCAGACGGGGGTCTTTCCTGCCGCTTTTAAACGGGCGGTTGTGAGGCCACTGCTGAAGAAGAGCAATTTAGATTTTAATGATTTATACAATTATCGACCGGTATCCAACTTACCATTTTTAAGCAAAATTTTAGAAAAGCTTGTTTTAATCCAACTCAGTGATTTTATCAACACCCATTATGTTTTTGAAAAATTTCAGTCTGGTTTTAGGGTGAACCACAGCACCGAGACGGCCCTTCTGAAGATTTTAAAGTAAATTATGATGCCCGGAGGGTGACTGTGTTGGTTCTACTGGATCTAAGTGCTGCCTTTGACACAGTAGACCACACTATTCTTTTAACTAGTTTGAAACAGATCGGCCTCTCTGGTGCTGTTCACCAATGGTTCACATCCTACATCACAAACAGGACTTTTATGGAGAGTTTGGATACCTGTTCCTCTAGGGTTCATGGGATTACATGTGGTGTGCCCCAGGGTTCAATTTTAGGCCCAGTGCTTTTTAACCTTTATATGCTCCCTCTTGGCAGTGTCATCAGGAGACACAAGGTGAATTTCCACAGCTACGCTGATGATACACAGCTGTACATCTCTGTGTCTCCTGATGACACACGGCCAATGGACACACTTTTTAATTGCATTTTAGACATAAAATCCTGGATGACAGAAAACTTTCTCCAGCTCAACCAGGACAAAACTGAAGTTTTATCTATCGGTCCTGAGGCCCAGAGAGAGAAGCTTTTACCAAAATTACAATCACTGTCTCTTAATCCATCTGCACAAGTGGAGAACCTGGGTGTCATCTTTGACTCTGAGCTGACTTTTATCCATCATATTAAAAATATCACCAAAATAGGTTTTTATCATCTAAAGAACATCGCCAGAGTCCGCACCATTCTCTCTCGGGCCAATACAGAGACGCTGATGCATGCTTTTATCACCAGTAGAATAGATTACTGCAATGCCCTGCTTTCTGGTCTTCCTAAAAAGAGGATTTCAGGTCTACAACTATTACAAAACTCAGCAGCACGTTTCCTGACGAAGACCAGGAGGCGGGAGCACATTACTCCAGTTCTGTAATCACTGCGTTGGCTCCCCGTATGTTTCAGAATCGATTTTAAAATACTTTTAACAGTTAAGTGTCTTAATGGTCTTGGGCCTTCTTATCTTTCAGAACTGCTTTTACCGTATAAATCCACGCGGTCTCTGTGCTCCTCTGGCAGCCGTCTCCTTGTCATCCCTAAAGTCAGGACACATATTCACAGTAAGGCGTCCTTCTAGTACTACAGCCCTTGCCTCTGGAATGAGCTGCCAGGGGACCTCAGGGCCGCAGAGAATGTTCATGTTTTTAGAAACAGGTTCAAGACCCATCTTTTTAGCTTAGCTTTTAACTAATTACTATCACTTTTTAAATAAATAAATAAATAAATTAGGTTATTTATTTATCTAATTATTTATTTATTTATTTTATGTAGTCCTTTTTTAAAACATATATATTTTATTTTTTTAAACCATAGATTTATGATCAACATTATTTTATATCTATATAACTTTTTATATTACAACTTCCATTTTAGCTCTTATTATTTTATATTTTACCTTAATTTAACCTTTTTCCAGTGTTTCCTCTGTGGGAGCCCTCTGCCCTGGGGGCGGTGGTTGGCTTTGGCGGCCTGGGTGCTTTCCAGGTGTGCCTGGGTGGAGATGGGGGTCTCCGCCCTCCCTGCCCTGGGCGCCCTGTCTCTGTCCCTCGGCTGCTGCTGTGGATCTGCTGCTGACGGGGCGGATGGCTTCCCTGATGGCGTTTCCTTATCTTAGCTGGTCTGGCTCTTCTAAACTCAGTCCATTGTGTTTTTTTTCCATGGGGGGGGGGGGGGGGGGGCATGTGTGTGTGTGTGTGTGAGTGTGTGTGAGTATGTGTGTGAGAGTGTGAGTATGTGTGTGTGTGTGTGTGTGTGCCGGAGGATGAGTGTTGTGAAGGGGTTTTTATTCTCAGACTGTTTTTAAATTCTGGGGATGGGAGGGAATGTGGGTATGCAGGGTCTTTTTAATTTGTTAAGCACTTTCAGTTACATTCATTGTATGATTAAGTGCTATATAAATAAAGTTTGATTTGATTTGAGTGCTTTATAAGCCTGGCGGCCCTCCAGGCTTTGCTTGGCCACCCGCCAGGCTAAGCGTCATGCCCCGCCCCCCTCCCCGACCCTACCGTGTCTGCTGACACGAACGGCGCAATGAAACTAGAGCCCTCCATGAGCTAATACTGGTGAGAAACAGCAGCGGAACGTGTGCAAACCCCCCACCCCTGCTCTCATGGAGGAGCGCTGTGGGACACTACACCTTTTTTAAAGTTTTGCTTAATTTAAACGTTGGGACTGTAGTATAAAATCTTCCATGTGGTAGATCTGTTATTTCTGGTGTAAATTAGCTCTTAAAAATAATTGTAGTGTCAGATTAAGCCGTTCATGCTGAATATTTGCTAATTCAGATCTGTTGGTGCCTCTATTGTCACTATAATATTAATATTACCCTTTTACGGCTACTGATTTAACCCTTTTGTAACAGTTATGGCTTAGTATGTTTTTGGAAAATATTTTAAGTTCAGAACCAGTTTGCCTATTTCAGTAAAGACAAATGATAAATAACTCGCACTTGTATAGCACCTTTCAGAGTCAGAGGACTCCAAAGTAGTTTACACCGGTCCTGGTGAAGGCCCTGCTACACCTTCTGGATGGGAGCAGGGAGAGAAGGTGGAGCAAGGGTTGGGTGTCGTCCTGATGGAAACTGCTCACACAGTAGAGGCAACATATGTTGAATTATCTTTTGCCGATTTGTTCATTGCACAGCACCTTCCAGGTCTGATCTGTAAATAGCCAATGATGACATCTGGTGTTTCAGCAGCACGAGCACCAGGAAAAGGGAAGCTTGACTGCATCAAGTCCTTCGCTTTCAACAATCCACCAGCTCATGTTGGCTGATGAATGCTTGCTCACCCGTGGCTAACTTCTCATTTCATTGGTTCCTTGGAACAAGCTAGTAATTCCTGGTTCAAACGGCCAGATTATCATGGCACTTTTTTGGCCGATTCTCCCCAAATAAATCTTGAGGACGGTTCCTATACCTGTAACGGCTCTAAAGATAATGTTATGTGATATTTCTGCCATGTGAGGTGTGTTAAGAGTGTTCTGATCTGCTCAGAAGGATGTCAGGACAGTTACAATCACTAATTGGGGATATTCAACAGGTTGGATTGTCTTGGTCCAATACCACAGCATTTGTGGTGGGATAAAGGATAAACATGCATTAAGCCTGTTTAATGTGACATGTAGCCAATCAGAAAGCGAGGTGACGGGAGCCAGCTGCACAGAGTGAGGGGAATCCAGATCCGCCGTGTTTGTTAAATCCAAAGTCACATTTGATCTTGGCAGGTTTAGTGAGATTTCCCATCTCGTGTGTAGTGTGTGCCTTGCTGCCACACAACACACCCTGACTGTAGAACCAAATCTGTCCCTGATTCTTTATTGCCACCTGTCAGATCTCTTCTGTTTAGAGAATCAGTTGTGAAGACCCACCTGGAAGAGTGGAGACCTGGTCTCAAATTGCTTTCCTAGAACACGCAGCTTTTTGCACGATTATAACACATAACATCTTACAAGGTTGCCGAATAAACTACTATTGAGATCTTTCTTGTGACTGGTCGTTGTGTGAAGTGCAGTTCCCATGCTCTGTGGACCTGCTGTACCTTCAGTACATCCTAATGTATGAAAGTCTTCAACGTATGTAAATGTGATGGTTTTGGGTGTATGATTACAGTTACATGGAGTTATGCTCTAGACAAGCCAATCTCTCAACTTTCTTTTGGTGACCTCTGTTGGTCTGAATCTGAGCAGAACATCTAGACAGAAATGTGTCTTACTTTGGCAGCTTTCACATTGTCCGTCGTCCCTCGCAGCTTCAGCCATATCTGACTGTTCCCATGAGACAAATCTTCCTCCCCGATTCCAAATGTCACCATAAAAATCCTCTCCACGGTGCGGTGAAGGGACGTCAGAGATCCCCGCAGCATCCCGGCACATGCAAACTCATCCTCCACCTCTGGATCTCCACCAAATTCGTCACCTCCATTGCTTCTTTCACCGTCCATCACGTCGTCTTAAACTGGTGGCAGGGCTTCAAACATAGTCTGTTGAACAGAAGCGCAAGGACTCGTTAATTTGTCAAAATACATAATCAGAGATGCACCCAAACAAACAAAATAATCCTCTGGTGATTGGAATCGGCCAGTGATCGACTGGTCAATCTGAAGCTCAAATGGTTTGGTCCATTAATGCATTAATGTCAAGCAGAAATAGAAACAATTTATCCCTTTCTGTAAACTCTCCATCATTTACCGCTTCTTTCCAATAGCACTAACAGATTATCCATGTGGAAGTTTTCTTTTTAGAATCAACCGTCTCAAGTTAACCCAAAAATGTTACATTAATAATAATTAAATTGCTTATGCTACAACTACTAATCATCATGATGATAATCGAGTTCTGTCCTTTATATATATAAAAAAAGACAATGGCAAAATCACGATACCAAACGTAAAAACATGTGCAGTGGTCTCTAGTGAGAAGTACTGCCTTGTAAGTTGTACTGTGCGGGGAACACAGGCCCAGATGTGCTTGTTTCAGAATGGAGAATTCAGCTGGAGGAAAAGTAGCTTCAGACGGCAGGATTTGGAGTCTTATTTCCTGATATTTGGACATCTCACCTCTGATTGGTTAATGGCATTGCAACATTGCCACTGACTCCATTTGCTCTGCAACACTGATGTTTTATTTCCACAAATACCACAAGCCTGGAGGAGTTCTGCTATGATGTGGAATTGCTAATGCTAACAGTTAGCTTCTACTAGCCAAGACGTTCTGAGGTGTTTTCCGGACGCTAAACCATTAACAGCCTTCCCTGTCATGAGCCAAGATGGGTAAGTCCAAGCAGTGTGACGTAGATCTGTCAGGATTTCCTAATCTATTTTGCATTTCACCATCTATTTTGTATCAGAAGCTAATGCAGGAAATGGGTGTAAGAGACTATTTTATAGTTCAGCCTGCATGAAAAACTCAGAAGGACTGATCATTTTCAAAAATAACAAATAAAAAATGGGTTCTCAGTGAAGAACTTTGTCAGGACCCACGCGATGTGAGGAAAACATGTTACCACCTGTGTTTTGCACACATTAAAGTGTGAATTTGGACATTTTTTATGGTGATAAAGTATGAAAACTATGGAGGTTCATGTTCACATGTTCTTCACATGGGATCACATGTTGTTGCTGATGAAGAACATGCTCCAGCCATGTGATTTTACTTTATTATACTTCTGTGAGGTATTAGAAGGTCACAAATGAACAAAAATAGATAACTGGTATTGACCCTCAAAAAACAGAATCGGTGAAACTCCACAGCAACATTTGTGTACAAAATAGGAGCATCAACAGTCCTTTAATTCATTTCAAACACAAATAGATGCCTTCTTTCAATTTGAGGGTTGAAAAACACACAAGACCATGTATTTTTCTCTCAAATGTAACTCAACATCAAATTTGCTGTGACGAAACGTGCTACAGATCCCATTAGGGTCTCATCTAACATTAAACGTCTTTTAGTAAATACATTTAATCTATAACCGGCCTCTTTGATAATAAAACACAATAACCAGAGTGCTGTGAATCATTTAAAAGATGTTCCTGGCAAAGAAACAGACCAGGAAACAACTCTGAAAACTTCTCAACACAATTTTTAAGCGTTTTGTTTGCTTACGTGAAGTTTGGTCGCTAAAGTCTGCACAGGATTCCGAGTTTCATTTCCATCTGAGCCAGCTCGATCGAGTCTTCCGCAATCACAAGGAAATAAACTCACACACACGCACACACACACACAACAGTCCAGAGTTCAGGCTGGTGTGGCAACGATCGCCTTTCGGTAAGGAGAAGTCACGTCCCTCTGGAGCAGGGACCGTCTTCCCGTAAAAAAAAACAACCCAGAGTCCAAACCGAAACTAAAACGTATCCCCCCAGCTACCTCATGTGTCCTGGGTGTGATTGGCAGTAAAAACAGATAATACTATTTAATATGAGTCCACCAGCTCGTGACATTTTTAGGCGTTTAACTCAGTCACAGTTTTTGAGAATTATTTTATTTATGTAACTATTTAGTCTGTTTGTTGATTTCAAATAGTTAAAGTGTTATAAACTATTTATAACATGTTTTAAAGTCGGTTTGGGGGATGTTTTTAGACAGGACATCGCGGGGATTTCCAGTGACGTCAGATGCGGGTTTCTTCTGCGTTTTTTAAAAGTACTAAACAGATGTCACGTGCGACTGCACTTCACACCCACACAGTTTTTTCTTTTCCATCCAATTTAATAAAACAAACGCATAAATATTTTCTCTCAAATGTTGAAAAGGACTTTCTCAAAGGACACAGAGTATGTTGCTGGCTGTAGCAAGCTGCTGTGCAGGGATCGATTAGTCTTGTCTACTATTTCTGCATGAACACACACACACACACACACACACACACACACAGACACACACACACACACACACACACACACGCACACGCACACGCACACACACACACACACACACACACACACAATCCCCATTATATTTTTTATTTTTATTAAAATAGCTCACAATAAATTACATTTATCATTCATTGAAACTAGCTACACATTCATCAAATAAAAGCTCCAGCTTCATCCATGCTTCCACTTTTTAATTCAGGATGATTGTTGAAGACAGCACCTGTCATTTGTTGTTGCAGGAATTTTGGTATTCAGTTTACAAAAGTTGAAAGTAAATGAGTACACTACTCAGTTAGGTTATTGTAACTTGTGTTTTTCCAGTATGTGTTCAAAAAGAGAGGTGAAACCCTCTAAAATGAAAATGTAAACACCAAAGCCACTAGGAAACACTCAGGATGACATATTCAGGTTTACAGGACCAAGGTGGTACGTGACACAAAAAAGTAAGAGATGTGAAACTGTAACAGAGAATAGGGATCATGAACTTAAAATGAAACCACATCAAACGCCCGGTCTGTAAGATGGATAGCCTTCACCATATCTTGGACAGCAGGCGCGTTGCAAGCTTTTCAAAAGTGTGGGGGATGTTTTCTGTGCCTAAAATAAGTTCATGTTATTCATCTTGTTAGTTTAATTTCCATAATAGCGGAGCAGGTGCGAATTTTAGACGCGTCACGCATGTCTCCGTTTTAAACATGTTGAAACTGTTCGCAATACAAATCCAGGCTCTGTCTCATTAGATTGGTGTAACTAAAGTTTGTACTGAATGAAACTTTACATTAAACCATGTTGAAAAGAAAAGGATCCGATTAAATCGTTTCCCCCTCATTTACAGTCAGTACAGTGCAGTACGCGTGGTTCTGGGGTTAATCAAGTTTAGTTGTTTCTCTTTGCAACAATCTTCACAAGAAGGTAAAACAGTTAAATGGCAGGTTACAGATATTTCCATTTGACTGTTTATTTTGACGGATAAACTCAAGGATGTTGGTTGTTTTGAAAGAATTACTCCGACGCACACTGATGTGCATGGATGAGCTGACATTTTAATCGTTACACACATTGCGGAGGTAACTAAATCAATCAAGAAATGATTCCCATCGGAACATCAGAGCTTTAAACTGGACACTGTGCTCAGCGCGGATTGGAGTGCACACGGTGGACAGTGGGATGAAGATCTGTGGAGGGGTTCGGAGGGCAGCGCAGAACCACGACGCATGCGATAAGATTTCCTCCCACTGAAGCGGCCTCGAAAGCCGGTCTCTCTGAGGGATGTGTCACTTGGAAAAATGTTAGCTGATTATGAAACTTTGGCTGAATAGCGCTTGTTCCCGTCTCTAATATGGAGACTTATGATGGATCAAGTCTGAGGTAGAATAGCCTCTTCAGCTCAGAAAGCACCTGTAGAGACATTTGATCACACACAAAGTTCATGTGGAGCAGAAGCGGTCGGGCCACGGCAGGTGAAATGTTCCTAGCCTACATGAAGTGAAACTGTTTAACTGTAACATTAATATGTTACTGGACACGCTGGTCTGGTTGGTTAGACCAGTGTTTGAAATGGAAAACACACACACACACACACACACACACACACACACACACACACACACACACACACACACACACACCAATTAAAATAATGCTGATAGCGTGGACTAGAAGACAGGTGATGGTTTACGTATTTAAATGATGATCAGGTTGATGTAAAATGTAATCTCCATCCACATCCAGACAGAATCATCCTCTATTCTTTCTCTATTTGCTCTGCTCTTGTCTGGGCTGACGTAGCTGACGGTGCGCGCGGCGCGCCTAGCGGCTGTGATGCACATTTTACGCATTTGGAGAGGTGGGCTGGATGCTTTGCTTTAACTGGAAGATGGTCCACTTAACGCACGGGTGTAGACTACATATTAATGACAAATGAATGAAAATTAAATTGTGAGTTTTTACTTCATATTTTAGAAAGAAAAATGACGGGGGAACACATTTATGACGTCTTTTTAAACTACATTTTCTAGCGCGACCTGCCTGCTTCACTTAAGTCACTGCTTATTAAGGTCCGTCCAGAATTACTGTGGCCCACCCAAAAATGAAAACCTGGCACTGTGCCTGTTATAAACCTCTGCAAATTATTGTTCTTCACGTTATCAAACTCAGACTTTGTACAGCTAATGTCAAGATGTAAAATTATGAATTCAGTCGAGCTCTTCCATCCCTCCCTCTCCTGCTCTCCTTGAAACCCGACATCGGCTGTCAGAAGAGGGAGGTGAAGAAGGAGATGAGGCAAACAGAGTGAGTGCGACGTAAAGAAACCAGACTGGTGTGGAGGCGAGCAAAATAGCTGGAAAAGTGTGGGTGTTGAACGATCTCAATAAGAAAACTGTGGGTGTTGCTTCCCCCACATCCCCCATGGGTGCGACGCCCACTGCTGGACTGACCATAGGGCATAGCGGGCAATTGCCCGCTGGGCCGACCCTTTCATCTTTTATGGGCCGGTGTCTGTTTTTTTTTTTTTTTTTTTTTTTCTGGCCTCTAGTTGTTGCTGACAACTTGTCCGCGCCGCCCCACGCGACGCCTCGTAAAAGTTGGTGGATTGGCCAATTGGTAACAATACACTCTGGGCTGGACCAATAGCCAGAGGTCTGATGCACCCGCCAGTTGTTTGTGAAACAGACAGACGAGCTTTACAAAATGGAGAACAAAAAACGGAAAGCAGGAGCGGAGAAAATTCGACTAAGGCCGGGGACACACTGGCCGCGGAAGCGCCGCGAAAATGGGACCGCCTTCATTCGGCGCCCTTGTTAAGCTATTCTATAGACCACATGGGCCGCCGAAGCGCCGCGAATCGCCTCGCGCCGGCGCGCGCCGGCGCTCCAGCCCGCGCCGTGCAGCGATCATTTCGGCGTTGGCTCTATTTTTTTCGCGAGCCGCGGGTGAATCGCGTCAATTCTGGCAGGAAGTCAAACGTAGACATAAGAGGCAGGCCGGTAAAGTTAACAAAATAAAGCATTTCAAAATAAAATTCCGCAATAGTCAAATGTGTTCGTAAACAGACACTGCAGAAAAACCACACGAACACGCACACACATACACACACATCGAACTTGTGTGCGTGTGTGACCACGTGAAGGGGGGAGTGGTTTTGGGTGTCTTTTCACCGGAGCAAACAGGACAGAGAGGCAGAAAGTCTGAGGCAAGCAGTTAGGATGGATGACTTTAAATTAATTATGGAAGTTGAGAAACACAAGGAGCATACGACCCCCGAAAAACATGATTGTTTACGTACCCATGTCGGAAGAAACTGCTAGGATACAGCTGCAGAATTGGAGCGGGTTCCAAGAGATTCAACTGGCAGAAACATCTCATACCATAGGTTCACACACACACGCGCGCGCGCGCACGCGCACAAACACTCAAACGTAGGAAAAGAGCTGAGAAAAGGCAGGGAGGAAATGGAGGACACCAAGTGTTTAAAAGAAAAACTACAGCTGAGCCGAGGCGCGCCTCGACTGGGGCGCGTCTGCAGGGGCGTAGCACCCAATTCTGGGCCCTAGGTACAAGTCTTCTAGGTGGGCCCCCATGCTCAATTACTTAATATCTCTCTTACACATTTTTTGTCATGCTATAAGACAAGACAATAAATATGATCTTAGTTTAACCTCTATATTGAGCAAATACAAATGCCAGCATAATAAAAGTGAAATGCCCAGACTTCACATATAATTATTTTTATTTGCCAACAATGTGTTCAAACAAAAATCCTGGAATTTATTTTCCAGTAAATGCCCACTGACGGGTCTTCATGTTAGCAAAATCACTTATGAGATCTTTAAAGTCCAATCCTTTGGCTAATTGGCTTTCAATAGAAAGAAGAGCTAGGCTGTTCAGTCTATCCTGGGACATTGTTGATCTCAAATAATTTTTCACCAGTTTCAGTTTGCTAAAAGCCCGTTCACCCCCAGCAACAGTCACAGGTAGTGTGCAAAATATTCTCAGTCCAATACAAACTTCTCCAAAAATGCTCTGTAATTGCATCCTGTAGATGGCATTAAGCAGCTCAAGAGGAGACTGAATGTGTGGAAATGTGGCACCATATATTGTTCTCAGGTGTAGCATCTCATTCTCAAATTCAGCTGTGAGATCCTTGTAATATTTTCTCATCAGTGCCTGGCATGATATCTTCATCTGCTCGTCAGTCATGTCTGTCATGGTTCATGATGTTAAGCTTTGCTGATATATATTGATATATTAAATACATATGACATGAAATAAACCAGGTTCTCTCTGTGAATGTAATGTACTCTAAATTTTATAATCCCTGCATTATCAGCCAAATTATAAGATTGTCCGTTTT